TATATCGTAAAAACAACAATTTCTCTATATAAGAAAACAATATTTGCTTGTACAAGTGTAATAGCAGCAGTGGTACATAAGTCTCTATTCAAAAATAGTCAGTACTGTGCTTCTTGTAGCCTTAACTTTTCTATTGAAAAATTTTTTGGCAAAAAATCATGAGCAATGCAAATACACACATGCGTGTAATAAAGGTGTATACAGTGTGATCCACTAGTTGCATTGCTGGACTCAGAAGGCAATGTTATTGTGTTGTTTTTTAACCACCTTCCCTTATTAGTTTCCACTAATTTCCAATGTTCTATGAGTAAAATCTTCTAGCATTAGAATGGTGCATAAAGGGTATTTTGTGCTCTAGTGGGTAAACTTATTTACATACAACTCTGTCTTATGCTGCTAATCTTACTCTGTATGGACAGTGTGGTTGACATCAGTTGGTCAATTTCATTAAACTCATTCACCCCTAGCTGCCTTTGACACGAACTGCATGGTGAATAGCCCACACTCTGAATACTGAGAATATTGCCCTGTGACCAGGAAACCAGTGAACACACAACAAGTACTGCATGGGTTAAAAATTCTATTAGTATAACTAGGTACACACGACCACAACTTTTAAATCAATAGAGACTGCATGTAAATTGATTTAATGAACTATCTTAGTTGGAAATTGTTTGTCAAATGAACCTACCAAACTGTACAATCATTATGATAAACAATATACCATGACATAATTGAACCATGTCTTCTATCTGTCCCCTTTTGCCTGCCTTTCAACTAATATTAATATAATATTCTTTTAAGATGTTGTCAATGTAGAAAGGCTGCACAGTAGTATTGATGAATATTTTCCCTGTGTTATTATATAAATGCACATCTTTGTCAAATATGTATATACATACACTTATCAATGGTAATCCTCAGGGTGTATAGTATTGGGACAATTAGCACTACAAATATATAATTTAATTAAATATATTTTCCAAACTATCCCACTTTTGTGAGCAAATTTCATAATTACATCCCATATACACCAGTTACAGTTACATACAGTATTTCTACCATCCATCATTTTATCATTCAAAGATTAAAATCTGTCAGGAGAATGACATATACAGCTTATATCAAATTATATTTGCACAGACAAAGCATATATACTCAGCTATGGTAGACAAGCAAGCCCAGGTAATCATCTTTGTTTGCAAAATATCCAGTGTACAGTAATTGCCCAATAACTCAGGCAATGCAAAGCAATTAGACTCTTGTCATGAGGCATGCCAGCTCATTTCCATATAAAATGAAAATGAAATGTAATAGGAGATACCACTGGAACTTGCAACTTGAACCAATTACCTTTCAATGTAAACTAGTGATGGGCGATTACCGATTACTTGGTATCGATACCACCCGATACCAGGCCCAAACAGGAAGTAGTCGATACTGTGTTTCGATTACTTTTAAAATTAGACATTCATTATAGTCTTGTAGTTGTGTCATCATTTTCATGGTTATTTCTAATAAAATTTATGTACTTTTTGGTATTTTGCGGCATTTAACAATTTAATCAAACTTCTTTTATACTTTATTTGACATTCTATTCTCGCCGACAGAATAAGTTATGAAAAAGGCGGGAAATAAAGTTATTTTTTATTTTTTATGGATTGAAATGGCAGATCAAATCGTTACTGTTAAAAGTATGTAACTTTTTGAAAACTGGAGGAAGTAATCGTTTGGGTAATCGATACCTCGATACTTTAACCAAAAAGTAATCGGTATCGTATCGAAACCGATACTGGTGGTATCGCCCATCACTAATGTAAACTCCCCCCTTAGTCTTCTAACCAATATTACATCACTATTATAGAAATCTCATTAATATTAACCTGCAATATTATTATGCACTGTAATTACATAGAGCCTGATGTAAGTCTTGACCCACACCATAGTTTTATTTTTAGTATGTACCGGTATCCAATCAAAATGTGCCAGGAGAAATGTCAATTTCACATAATTTAACAACAAGCTAAATATAGTTACAATCACTAAATCTATAATTATTTAATTATATATAGCATGAATTAACCAAAATATAAAAAAAATACATTAAATATGGCATGAATACTCTAAAAATAGCTAGAAATAGCCAATCAAAGTTACAACCATAAAGGTAGTTGTAGGACACAAACGTTTAATAACATGTGTATCAGGTCTTCATTTTTCTTTGCCTGCCAGCTGTGAGAAAAATGAAGGTCTGGGCACAGGTTATAATCCCATGTAAACAGAGTTGAAATTTGCCTCAGTAAAGCAAGCTGTCAAGTTTGGTATTAGGGCTGGTTTGCCTCCAGACAAGCAAACCTCTGTTACTCGGTAAAGAATGTAAAATGTCAAACTACCTCATCCAACCCCCCCCCCTGCTGGTTTAAATAAGCAACAGTATTAAATAGGCACAAACTTTAATTATTATATTATTACAAACAAATATGCATTAACTGTGGAGCCCATTTTCCACTTTATACACTTCTTGAACTGAACAATGAACTACAATGCAAAATATAGATAAATTTCACTTTAGAGCCCTTCTTCCCATTATTTGTTTCATTTGCATACAGTGTTTGCATATCCTTGCCGCCATCCATGACTTGAATCGAATGCCTTGTTACGTCACAGTAGATTTTGATTTTGCAACTTGCATCAGTGAACCGATGCGAGCGCCGCAATCTGCATGCGATGCATCGCGCAACGGACAAATCTATCGTGACATAGGGCTCTAAAACAATAGATTTGATGACGTCACAGTAGATTTCACGCGGAAAAGGACTCGGGACCGATGCATTCACTGATGCAAAATGGCTGAAAATCGATGCAAACCAAATCTACCATGACATAGGTGATGCATCAACCTTCTATTGTGACATCAAAGGATGCGGTAAAAAAATATTTTGTTGCAAAATTATTGACGCTTAAGTGTCGCAAAATAAAAAGTAAATAACAAAAAGTACACCTTTGCGATCGCACGTCGCATATTGGACTTATTTTGACAATTTCGACTGTTATTGAGACTATTTAAATTGGATTTCATCCTAAATATTGTATTCCTGACATGGAGTAAAGTTTAAGCAAATATTTGCGGTTTGATAGCTGGAGGGATTCAAAGATATTCTATTACTGAGTGCTTGACTTGATTTCTCAATTTTGACCAATGCATTCACATCGTTGGCATCAGTCTGGATCCGTCCCTGATGTGACATAAGAGTAGAGGACCCTGACTATGCCACTCAATTGTTTAAACTATGCAAGTCATTTCAATATTAACCTCTTCTTGTATTGCTACTTGAAAACTCTTGTAGATTTTAGCAGATCACATGACCAGCTCATACCAGGAGTTTTCCTCCACGAGATGTAAGAACCTGGGAATGAGATTGATGTTCCCTTTCTTTCAAATATACGTAAGTGTAGGTGAGAGGGAAGAGAGGACCTTACACAAGTCCCCGCCTAGCCACATATCAATAAAAAAATCCTTTACCACCCTTTAAATATAAATTTTACTTTGAGAGAGCAACTAGATTAGGGTTTGTGCCAGGTCTCTTTGTAAAATAGACCCTGTTACTCTGGCTATTATAAAAATACAGAAATATATGTTCATGTAGGCTTTGCAAATGTGGATAGTGCCCAATCAACAATTTCTTGCGTAGCTAGGACAGGCTGCATAGCAATCGAATGACATATATTTTTCGGAAGCTCTGCTGACAGTTCTACTTTTTTCAGTTTACTATCCTTGTCGTCAATCTTCCTCTGCAGGATACCAGAAGTTAGAGCTGCCCAGAAGTCATAGGTCTTCTCTTCTAGTACAGCCGTCACTCTCCAGTTTTTTGAACGCTTGCTGTACACTTTGTTATATTTCTTCTTTCCATCCCTGTTCAAAGCTGCTCGCCTGAAAAGATGGCTTTTGTGGTCAATAGCTGTGAGTAATGTTCTTGCTATAAATGAGTCATTCCTAAAACAATGTTGTAGGTTAATAAATAAATTGACATAATTGTATTGACTTTCAATTCGAAATCCATTAAGCTGCAATGACAGCAACATGCCCATATGTGCCACCATACCATCTAACACCAGACAAAGGGTGAGCATTGCAAATACATTAGTAAATACATTATTTACTGAAATCCAACTCGCTTTGGTGTATATTTCACAAGCATTGAATTGAAATTTTCTAGCTTGCTGGTGCGTCTAATAAATAAATAAATCATTACTTCACAATTTTTATATATGCCACTTTTTGCTGAGATTTTAGGTGCGATTTTCTTCTGATGGATGTGAAAGAGTGAATGAATTAATTATGAATGTTCGAGATGAGGGTATATATATATACTCAGAACATTGATAACTCATCTACTCATTCTCATCCATCAGAAGTCAAGAAGAAAATCACAATAGAAGTCAAGTCACAAGCAACACTTGCAAGTGTAAACACCATAGGTGTGATTGAATAGTATCAGTTGAGAACAATGAGTGAGTGGAGAATATTGAAATCAGTGGGGTTTGGAAACAAAGGTTTACAGTAAGACAAAGCACAGATATATTGTTATGTAAAAGTGATTTTACCCCCTTGTTTTTACCCCTAGCACTAGACAATTTTACTGCAATCCTGGACAAAAATAGTGGCAAAAACTAGTTTATTACTTCAAAATATAATTTTATCACATTTTTGCCCCAATGACCCCCCTTCCCCCAATATCAATGTTTTGCCAAGTTATCTGGCCTCGAATACACCCATCAAGATTGATATTAGGGGAAGGGGGTGAAATTCGATGAATTTTCTTATTTTGTACCCTTTTGCCAATAATTTATGTCCAGGATTGTTGTTATGGAGAGCAATGGCACAGGGCCAGCTGTGAAGGGCCTATTATAAACTTACTACAGGTGTATAATGAGAAATGCACTGTAAAGTCCAATGACCGGTCAATATACCTGAATGTTACATAATGGTGCAAAGCATTAAGAAAACGAGGATCCATCACCACTTTCTGCAAAGCCTCCATTGCCTTGGAACCCTTATCCATCAAGGTCTTGTTTTCTTCAGTGGAAACAAGAGGACCATGTGTGCATTCACCATCTGCCTATTCGTGTTCACCAACAACACGTTGTAAAACTCCAAACCAGCTGTCCTAAAGTGTATTCATTAAACAAATAAGCTCCAATATGCCCTACTTTATAGGACAAATAGTTCCAAGTCTGATTTTTCACAGAACATTTGGAAAAGTGATGTGCAATGTTCACTATTTGGTCCAGAACGATGTGCAAATTGCACACTGTTAATTCAAACCCTGATTATTATTAACTATAATATATAAGGGTAATATTCTAATGTGAAAGTTAGTACTTTCCTCACCTTTAATTTCTCTGTGCAACATACCAGAAGTGGTTTCTTATTGGCTCGGTCCACTCGCTTTAATACCTCACAACCCTTAAAGACCATGTAAAGTCCGTTCTGCGCATACTTTCTGCTTATCGCTACATTCCAAATGTCGGGACCCGACCACTGGAATGTTAATATATGCAATAATAGCATGTCATATTCAAAATGGTGGACGAAACAAGCACACAAGCGAGTTCCTCTTTGCCGCAAGGCAAGGAGGCTCGTATTGTTAATTCAGAAGACAAGGTTGCCAAAAAAAAGCGATATTACACGGAGAGGGATGCGAGCAAGATTTATTTGTTCGATCAGCATGTGAGATGGCGAGAGTTGATGAACAAGTTGGCGCTTAAATCTGACAAGGAGCTAGCAGCAGTATTGCTAGACAATTACATGTCTCGCAAAAATCAGCATTTAGGTAAATGACTCAACTAGCAATATGATTTAATGTTAGTATATGTTTCAAAAGTGCTGCGGGTTTGATTTTTATGTTGTATTGGTTGATATTCATACATTTGTCTTCTTAAAAACAGTGAAGTTGAAACTCAAACAGAAGGTGAGCTGGGAGAGTTGCCAAACAGTGAAGAGCCTCAACAGGTCTCCACAACGACGCCAACACATATTCATTCGCCAGGTGAGTTACAGATTAAACAGGAATAAAAATAATAAAATGCAACAACATGTAACTCTACAGACTTTCATTTTTTCCCGTTTAAATAAAGCTGTGAGTTTGATTCGGAATTTGGAAAGAGCTGCACACGGTTTCTCGACACCTAAGCGCCGTCGTTTGTCGATAGACAATGTTCTCCTCCCTTCACCAGCAATGTAAGTTCTTAAATGAAACAATTTTAATTTCTTATTATGTATTCAATATTATATTTAATATTGCAACTATTAAAAGTGTATATTGAAAGAAGTACCAAGAAGACTTATTGATGTAAATGTTAGAGTTGTTTATAATTTTCTTGTTTCCTGTAACCTTTCTTACAGGCATCACAGGAAGCTAAGAAAATGGTTTATTATAACTCAGGGAGTCATAGTGCCCAATAGTTATAATAAATCAGCACCTTGGTCTCTGTGAATTTATGAGATTAGGGCATATTTTTGTTTATAATAAAGTGTGTTTACAATTAATGGTAAGCCCTGGGCATGCTCTGCAAGGTATTTATAATTAGCCTTTTCCCAAAAAAAGATCACAGTGCATTCTGGAATTGTTTGGAGGGATAAAAATATAGGGTGACAGGCGTGATCGAGTAGGTTACATTAAGCATTATTTTTTGCTAATTTTAAAGTGCCTATGCAACGAATTTTTCACCTCATTTTTTATTGTTTTTCTAAAAAGTACTGCTGGAGTGATGAAGAATGACATTTACAGTTTCGTCATATCTCATCTCATTCTCAAGTTATCAGACTTTCTATATTTTGAGTTGTGACGTCACAAGTATGAGTTGAGATAATGGCAATAACAAGAAATTATGATATCTTGGTGAGTATTTAATAAAATTCAATGAAACTTAGTACACTTAGTGTGGGTGCACTCATATGAATATTTTGGGTAGGTCATGCGGTTGTCATGGCAACACACTAGTCCCCAGTCTCTTCTCTTCCTTTCACAACTTTCCTCCCGTAGACCTCTTGCAAAGGATGTTTACATATTATAACGGTTTAAACTGATCACAATACCTACACGTATTATAGTAATAAGCGAAAATTGTAGAAATTGCTATTTATTTCGTTGAAAATGGATCATATAGAAATTGGAAGAGAAGGGACTGGGGACGAGTGTGTTGCCATAACAACCATATAAACAAGCCAAATTGTTGACTTTGCTGCACCCACTAAGTGTACCAAGTTTCATTAAATTTTATTAAATACTCACCAAGATATCATACTTTCTTGTTATTGCCATTATCTCAACTCATTGGAGAGGACCATGACTGCAAGTGAGAGCGAAGACAGTGACGATTCAGAAGACATGGAGGAGATTAACCCACTAAATAGCTCATTGTAAGTTCAGACCTTAAAGTGCCACTGTGACCAAATTTTCATTTCTGTTTTTTTTCCATGATTGTGAAGAATGCATATAAAGAAGCTGTCACGCAAAATTTTAGCATGATATCTTATATTTTGCCTGAGTTATACGACGATGAAGTTCGAATTTTGGCGGCCGCCATTAAAATCCGCCATATTGGAAAGTTCAAGTGTTCGGGAGTCTTTGACGTCATAGTCTCAACACATGCTGGGCATGCAACATAAAAATATATACGCGACTATAGTAAAACCACGGTAAAACTCGATCATGCCTTCGTCGCGTTGTGCTGTACAAGATTGCAGCAATACTTCTGACAAAAACGCGGGTAGATCATTGCATAAGGGCCCAAATGACGAATCTTTGAGAAGAATATCGGTTAGATTTGTGCAAACTAAGCACGCCAATTTTTATCTAAGCTCGCGGGAAATTCGATTCATGATTTGTTTGGACCATTTTTCAAAGGATTGTTTTTGAGCGTTTATTTCATTTGGATGGTTTGCAAAGACGAATAAACCAGATTCTGTGCCTACTATTTGGAGGAAAGCGCCTGCGCAGCTAACAACAAGAGACAGGCGTAAAGTCAGATATCATATGAATATATTTTAGCTACATACATAACTTTACATAATCTGATAAGTCCAGATCAATTATAAATTCACGCGACAAGTGTTGTTCTCATATTATTGAAAATAGGTTTAAATTTTAAACGAGTTGGGCGAAACTGCAAAGACTGATACAAACAAGGATGAACCATCGAGCTGTTTTTTCAAACTCCGTGTAAGCTCGCTGATCAGTGTTCAGGAATGTTGATCATATTTTATTGTAACAACAACACAGTAATGTGAGATGCCTTGAACTGCCCGTAAAATCTCATACCAAACCCACGAACTGTCTGTAGAAAACTGCGCGTAAGAACCTATAAAATATATAATATTAAGTAAATGGGCGCGCACAATATGTTAATGCTTGTTTAATAACAACATCGGCATAGTAGGCATGCTTCAGGTTGACAGCAATGACCACATTCACACCTTATAAAAAAATGCAAAATAGAAGTTCAGAGATACGTTTTAATTTATTACTCCGGCAAATAAGAACACAAACTTACCAAGACGATACATCAACATGCATGGCTTCAAAACGATTTTGTAACATATTTTCGAGCTGTTCGTCTTCTGCTACAGCTTCGTCGACCTCATACTCGGCTACCTCTTCAGGCAAGGCAAGCGGCTCCAGCAATAGTCAGCAATAGTATCATCAAAATATCAAATGGCAAAAATTCATTGTCAAGTTCGCTTGAATTCGCTGTTATATGTCTTATATAAACAGATGAGATGCGGGAGAATCTGTTTCAGACAAATACTCCAAAACGCTATTAGATCGCGACGAAACTGACATTTTAGTTCTTGAAATACATGCGATGCTCTACGTTTGCTCACTAATTCTACTTGTGCCCTTGCGGTGTGTTGAGACTATGACGTCAGAAGCCTCTCGTGACAACATAAAATCAAGATGGCGGATTTTAATGGCGGACAGCGATTTTGGACATTTCAAATGCTCGTAACTCCGTGGTTGTTAATCATGTTCGCCTGAAATTTTACACAAGCATTTTTGGTGCAATAATAAAGTCGTTGCTAGCAAAAAAGGGAATTTTCTCGATGATGAATTTTCGTCACAGTAGCACTTTAAAATATATAAAAACAATTCAAAAGAACAGCTCACAAGTTTTAGGTTTGTGTACAGTATTTGTCATGTGAAATGACTCAACATGCCAAGTTTAAACCTATATACTTTCATTTAGCTTTTATACCATATTTTGTACTGTATCAATCGTCTGTGCTGAAATGTTATACTTTCTACAACAAGTAATATAAGTATCGTTCTAAGGAATTTTCACAATTGGCATTTAATTTGCACTTAGAATGTAACTGTTCCTTTGTTTGTCATTTTATTATTGTCATTTTTTTATAGGCTCCAAGTTGATGACCTTGAGAAAACGTCCCTTGAAAGTGAGGTGTATGATCTGGATGTTGAAGGGCAGGATGATATCGGAAAAGACATATCAGAGCAAGTGTCTAGCTCCACTAACAACGAAGACACCGAAGTGGAAATCATACAACCTGCAAATATTTTCAAGACAGAGTACTGTATTGCAGCAGCAACACAATTGATACGTTTACCCTACAGAGTTCATGGCGAAATATGTAAGCGACCTGGATGTGACGAACTACTTGAATTCCAAGAAACATATCATGGCACATGTCTTGTGGTTACCTGGAAGTGTTATGCATTGCATTTTGGTGGAAGGTGGGCCTCTCGACTGACTTGTGCTGGTCTTCGGGCGGGGAATTTGTTGTTGGCGGCAGCAATTGCTCTTTCTGGTAATTCACACACCAAAATTGGCTTCCTTTTCAAGGTCATGAATATGACATACATATCCCAGTTGTTGTATAATCAATATCAGAGCTTAAACAATGCTCCCACTGTTGAGGAATATTGGAAAGAAATGAAAGAAGAAGCATGGAAAGAAAGGGAAGGGAAAGACATTATTCTCAGTTCTGATGGGCGCAATGACTCTCCTGGTCATTGTGCACAATACCTAACATTCTTTTGCAGATATGGAGTCAAAAACCATCTTAAATTTGAATATTGTGGAAGATAGAGAAGTCGAGGGGAGAAAAAGCATGAATATGGAAAGAGTCGGTTTTGAGAGAGGGCTTGACGAGTTGCTGACTTCAACCATGAAAATAGAGGAACTTGTCACAGATGGTCATCTGGGAATCAGTGCAATGATGAGTATGTTACAATTGAACTATTAAGAAATAATTATATAGAATGTATGGTTGATCACAAATCTTGTATCCATTGTTTTATGTTTTAGAGCCAAAACAGCCATTATGTTGAGACAAATGTATCAATATGTTTGTAATAATCATGCAAGCCTATAAAAGACAAAATACACTTCTTGATACTTCAACAACCATATTTGTTTTTTTTTATCAGCTTATGTGATCATTGACATTACATACAAATATTATATATATTATATATATATATATATTGAAAAGTGAAATTATCTGGCATTAGACAGATGAAAATAATAAAGTAGGGCGCATCAGGTTGGAATGCGACTTAATGGGTTAATTAATTAGTTAAATCTTATAAATTGACATGTTTGACTTATAATATTAACCCATTTACTAATAACTAGTACCGTACCATTGATGAGTATAGAATACTAAAGAAATGAACAATCTCAGCATATTGCCAGTTCATAATGGGTTCTACAAATTGTGGTTACCATTTAGACAATTACTAACTCTGAATGTGATGTGATATTCCAATTTATTATCTTCACATATTATATTGATTGTATAATTATTTAGAGAATTCAGTTAAATATAAAGATATTGTTCACCAATGGGATGTTTGGCATGGTGGTAAGAACCTTGGAAAGAAAGTTATTGCAGTAAGTACTGTAGCCACTAAGATACTTGATTTGTTTGAACTGGACAAATGGTTTTGATAATATTCACTTGTAGCTTAATACACAGAATGATACCGGTGCTAAATTGTTCAATTAAAATCTGATACAATGATGTTTCAATTGATATATAAAGGTGTTATTTGTGGTTTCATTCATTCTGTGCCAGGATAAATTTCAATGAATGATCTCATCAAACCAGTGCCATAGCCAGAATGATAATTGTGGGGGGGGGGGGACATATTCATATATTCATGTTCACATACCATAAAAACAATTGATTTCAAAGGAAATTAATAAAGCAGAACACGAATATATGAATATGTGCCCCCCCCCCCATTACCGTTCTGGCTACGGCACTGCATCAAACTATTGTTAATACAGTATATATGACATTGACGTTCTGTATATAGGCTAGCAAAGAAAAAGGAAATGATGAACATGGGTTAGTTCAGTATGCAACCATTTTTGGTATTGTAGTCAGGAGTGTGGTCGCAACACAGAGGACTTCAAAGTAAAGCTTTAATTTTTTGTTCATATTTCATAGTTAAAGGGAACTCAAGAAAGTAATCATTATATAAGCCAGTCATTATGTCAGTCATAATAGTGATTATCCTAATTTCTGACGCCTTAATGAAAAATATTTGCTCTATCATTCAGCAAAGTCAAATGTTCTGAATCGTACACTGAACAATTTATATTGTCAATGTGCAGTAATCAGTTAATTTAAATATTTTTTGGTTGACTACACTTATGGGCTGGCATTCTACATCATGTTGTAAAATGAGCACACATGGGTACTTAGTGATGGCAAAGGTGAAGGAAAATGTGGCCATGGTGTTCGCACAGAAGAAGAGAGGCAAAAGCCATGGCTTACCAAGAACTCTTCTCCTCAGAATTCTCTGCGCCAGATTGTGTTGAAGAAGCGTTTCTTGAACACATTTCCATATTATACTCATTTTAGGTTTGATTGTTCAAATTCCTCACCCCCTGGCAAAGTGTGTTATATACCCAACTAAAACAGAAAAATTTATGATTGGGCAATCCCTGACCCCCTACCAAGGAAATCTTTATGAAACTGTTAATACATAACAAAAAAATGCTAAAAACACATTCTTGCCTACTGTGGGAAAAGTGAGATTAATTAACACTGTTTTAATGTATACGACATTGATAGATTTTAGATGTTAATTTCCGCCATCTTGTCTTAAGTTAACTTTTCAGGCCAAATGACTGAAGTTCTTGCTCCAAACAGAGAAAACTGACTGACAAATTAGTGAATTAGATTCAAATTCCCCCACCATTGTCAAATTTCCCACCACGAAGATTCAGAATGTCAAATTCCCTACTCCCGGGAGACACCTTAAAGTTGAATGCCGGGGAAGGGGGGGCACAATGTTTCAAATTAATAGATACATTAGACAATAAAACTAACCAGTACTGTAATTAATGTTGACAATATTTTATAATTTCAGTCCCTGCTGTTACAGTCCGTAGCAAGGAAAAGGCGTCCAAACCAAGAAATCCACCAAAGTGCAGTGTATGCAAGCAGCCAATGAAAGGCCACAAAAATGTGACTAATTGTCCACGGAACAACAAGGCCTAACAATGATTTTTATTCAATTAATTTTATTAACATTCAAATAAACTTATAAGCTTTCATCGTCTGTTTCCAAGTAATCATTAATCCTAACCTGTAAATTCATCATCAGTTTTGATATTATGTGTCAAACATATTGCAGTATACAGTATGCACAAACAGGCAGTGGTATACGTCTGTCCTTTAATTTGCTGTGTATCATGTGGGTAAACTGCCTATATGCAACACCTTGAAGAAATCTACAATATAATAACAATAATTTTCTTGGTTCAATTTTGTACACTATATCAATAGAAATCTGTTGGGCAACATGCAATGTGTTTAACCCTTTACTGGCAGTACCCTACCACTGACGAGTAAAATCGGCTGGCATTGGACAGAGTAAATAATAAAGTTGGACGCATCTGAGTGCATTGCCAGGTAATGGGTTAACAAGAGACATTGCCAGATATGTTTGCTAACCCATTTACTAGCAGTACCCTACCACTGATGAGTAAAATCATCTGGCATAAACAGAGTAAATAATAAAATAGGTTGCATTGCCAGCTAATGGGTTAGTTAACTAATTGTGATGTTGGTTTTCCTGAATAAATACTATTATCAATCAATCAATCATAATGTTCTACTACACAAGTGGCTGCATAATGCATCAGTCAAATCTAAGCATGCCCAACCCCCACCCGGGGCATTTGCCTCTCTGGCACGTCCCAGCGGAGGGCCTTGAAAATTAATATTTCTAAAACAACACAATCACATCAGTTTATCAAAATGCATGATGTCAATATCTTGTGATGAAAAATGTCCCAAACAATGTCCCAAATTATTGTTTGTAGTAATGATAACAGAAAAGCTAGGGTAGCAATACCCCAAAGTGCTTGGGCATTTTGGGGAACACCGGTCACGATTAGAGATTGCAGCCTCAATTTGACAAACTCCATATTTTTGCCTTTAAATCTCTACATGTCACAATATTTGTCAAACAAGTGGTTGAACTTGATGCCTTGTAAAACCAAATGTCCTTAAATTTACTGTACCCTTTCCTTTGTGCCAAGTTGACTATATCGATGTCCATCACAAGTTTTAAACGTGTCTGCCGCGAGCTCCAACAACCATCTGTTTAAGCACACTTGCTGGGAAACCAGGGTGATCTGAGTGGAAATTCAAATTTTCGCGCCAGATGTTTTTCGCCGTGAAATTATTTCGCTGGCGGCAAAATAACGGAGTGGAAAACGGCCTTAATATTCACCTGTAATGTCTTTGCAGCACAAAAAATGAGAAAAAAACAACATCACAAAGGCAATATGGCATTAAGAATTATTTCTATTCTGACTCATTAACGCTACCTCGCAATGTGAAAAATAAGTATAGGTTATTTTGAGGCACCTCGGGAATATGTGTTTATTCACCTCAGCGCAGCGTGCCTCAGTGAATAAATATCCCCTTGTTGCCTCAAAATAACCTGTACATATTTAGTCATCCATTTACTTAACTTTATTATCAACGTATTATTAATAGTAATGTATTAATATACCTATACATATTTAGGCATCCATTTACTTAACTTTAGTATCAACGTATTATTAATAGTAATGTATTAATATATAATAATAATATGACTTTATTTAAGCATGATAATGTTTAAAGCATAAGCTTGTGGGGTCGTGCACTTAGAGATATATACCAGGGGTGGAAAAAGTATCAGAACCTGGGAACCTAGTTCCCAGAAATTTTTTTGAGTTGAGAGTTTTGCAGAAAATTTTCCAGAAAATGTTTCAACATTTTGAGATAACTCTGTTTACTCAATTTACAAGTTACAACTATTCTACTTTATTTACACTGTACACGCTAACATCAGCAGCTTTTAAATATTTGACAGAAATTAATTCTTTTACCCACCCCTGCCATCACAATGACTGGTAAAATGGTAAATATATGCTCTGCAAAGTCTGCAATAAAATGCAAATTAAATAGTAAACAAATAAAAGTGATGGAATGCATAAGATTATAGGACACTTAGTTAAGCGTTAGATCCTTACTATGATGTTTGTGATGTTATTGATGGAACTGAGTTTAGTTCCTTCAACATCAATGTAATCTAAAAATCATGATTTTTTGTGTTGGTGTTGTGTACTCTGGTGAATATGATGTTTGTGATGTTACTCTCAGTGTGTATCCACACCGGGAGTGATTATAATATGCCTGGCCACAGTGGGAATCGAACCTATACGACTTTTGGAATACTAGATTACATTGATGTCTAAGGAACTAAACTCAGTTCCGAAATATCACATACCCGAACTGACCTGACCACGTAGCTCAGTTGGCAGAACATTGGGCTAGTAATCCAAATGTCGTAGGTTCGATTCCCATCGTGGCCAGGCATGTTTTTCTTCAAGTTTGCCCGGTGTGGATATACACTCAGAGTAACATCACAAACATCATATTCACCTTAGTACATAACACCAACACAGAAAAAATCAAGATCCTTACTAGTTGGTCATAACTGTGGTATATAACAGACAACTATTGTGATGTACAAGAGTATGAAAACCAGCCTAAAGCCCATTATTACTAAAGTACAAATAATACAATAATTATGCATTTGTTTTGTTATTTTTGTAATTGTAACATTGCAAATTTTACAGAAAATTTCTAGCCTTCGACCCAGGTTCCCAGAAAGAAAAAAAATTTTTCCACCCCTGCCCTGAACTAATAACTCGAATACGACAATTTGTTCATAATAACCACAAATTGGGTCAATTTGATTACACTACATTTAAATTCCTATT